AATATATTTATGTTTGTGGTTGTAATGTGACAGAATATGGAAAAGTTCAAGGGGTATGAATACTTTTGCAAACCACTGTATATGTGATATGTGCACATTTAAGCATAATTGTTGAAAAAAACATGCAGGGTTTTAGTCTGCCTTTGTCACATTATGGCTAGATTGTGTTGTATTTTTTTCCTGGACAAATTGTAGTGCACCAGGTAAATACATACTTTTGGAAATTTTAGAATGTAGGTATGTCATATAATACATCCTAAAAATGTCAAATATTTGTTACTTATGGGAAAAAAGGGTAAGCCTTTTCTTATCTGTTGAATTGATGTGAAACAGAAAAGGTGCAGAGTAAATACAAAAAATAAAAACCCTGGAAAGTTTAGTAAATCAAAGCAAAAGCTTTAAAATATATTTTATCTCCTAAATACCTTGAATGGTTTTACAAAAGTAAACAACTCAATAAATAAATAGAGAGCATAACCCCCCCAATGGTAGACCTAAAGTTATGTCCTTGACTATATTCATTACATTTTGAAAAAAATTCAATTGTTTCAAATGTCTTAACCAATGCACTGTATGGCTATTTTGCCATATACCACTTAATCCTCAGTTCGATGTGATGGGTCACATATACGCACTACTTTAAATTGGTCTATCACATATAATCCCAGACAAATACTTTTAAGTTTGTAGTTGGAACATGACAAAATATGGAAAGGTTTTATTGCTATTAAGATTTTTTTAATGCTGCATACATAATAAACTTTAAGCATTGTTATATGTCATGTATTTTGAGATGCATTTTGTTTAACATTCTAAAGCAAACCGCTGATATTTAAGTAAATATCCTTGCTTTAAAAACAATACAACAGTTATTTAACCTTTTAAAACTTTCACTTAAGCCATGTTTATTTGAACATTTTGTGTGAATATAGCACAACTTCAATTCCAATGAAGTTGCTACTCTGTGTAAATTATGAATAAAACAGAATATGATGATTTGCAAATTATTTTCAAATTATATTAAAATGACTACACTACAAAGACGGATATTTAATGTTCAAACAGATAAACATTGTTTTTTATTTATTTACTTATTTATTTATTGCAAATATACTCTTATCTTGAATTTGATGCCTGCAACACCTTCCAAAAAACCTGGGACAGGGGGCATCAAAAGACTGGGAGAGTTGAGGAATGCTCCAAAACACCTGTTTGGGAACACTTTAGAAAACCATTTTGAATACAGTTCATCTATCTAAAATAGGGATGGGTACCTTTGGCATTAGAATCGATTCTGTACCAACATCCAGTACCTGGGAATCGGTATTGGTACTTAACGGTACCTATTTTCAGTACGTTGTGTGTGTTTTTTTAAATAATAAACTTTTTTTTACATATTTCTCAATATATAAAGTTAACAAATATCAAGACAACATCCAACTGTATGTATTGTAATATCAGTTATGTAACTTATTTCTTTAAAGTGCAAACTCTTAAAAACAACAAGACTGTTTTTTTCTTATTGCACATATTAAAATCCAGCTCCGTGTAATTCTGCTGATGTCATTGTCCCGCTAGAAAAAATTGTGTGATGGGGTCCATAGAAGGCAAATAAGTTTAAATCAAATAAGCAAAAGAGGATTGAGTTAAAATAAATAAAAGGTATTCAAGTTATGTTTTGAGCATCCAAAACGCGTCCAACACTTCAACTTGGCTGCTTGTGCTCCTTCAGATCAGACGCGTTTGGACTGTCGACAAGTGCCTCTGTTGTTTTCTACTGCCGGTCTCCGTTTAATGGTGAATGAAATAAAGTGGCTGTACTTTATTTTTTTTGAGCAAGCGAACATCGTGTTCACAAGATAATTAATCCACCAGATAATTCAGGGGCGGTCTGTTCGACGAGTTTAGAAGCTGGTTTAGATGGTTTAGGACCATACTCGAACTTGGTGGTGGACACCCCGGGTAAGGGAGGCTGTCAAGCTGAAGAAGGAGACCTGTCTTGCCTTGTTGGCTGTAAGGACTCTGCAGGCAGCTGAGGAGTATCGGCAGGCCAAGTGGGCTGCAGCAGCCCTGGCTGCTGTTGAGGCAAAAACTCAGATGTGGGAGGAGTTCGGCGAGGCCTTGGACAAAGACTCTCGATCGGCTCTGAGGAGATTCTGGCAAACCATCGGGCGGCGGAGGTGGGGTAAGCAGCGCTTCACTAACACTGTTCTCAGTGAAGGTGGGGTGCTGTTGACCTCAACCAGTGATGTCGTCAGATGGTGGAAGGAAAACTTCTCGGAACTTCTCAACTCCATCGTCTTCTATGGAGGAAATAGAGTCTGTGGACTTCGGGGCTGGTCTGTCCATGACTGGAGCTGAGGTCGCTGAGGTAGTTAAAAAGTTTCACGGCAGGATGAGATCCACCCTGATTTCTTCAAGGCTCTGGATGTTGTTGGGCTGTCCTGGTTAGCACACCTTTGCAACACTGTGTGGACATCGGGGGCAGTGCCACAGGACTGGCAGGTGGTTCCTCTCTTTAAAAAGGGGGACTGCATGATGGGCTCCAATTACAGGGGCATCACTCTCCTTAAGGGCTCAACACACGGGAGGCGACAAACGATAGCGATTAACGGCTGTCATCGCAACCAGGGTGAAAGCCAACACACAGGACGCGATAGCGATTGCAGCGTTGCGAATTGCGCTCTTGGGTCGCTTGTCTTCACGAAATTTGATTGGTTCTTCTACTGCCTCTTGTAAAAGTTATTGATGGTTTGCAAAAAAGGTGGGGGTGCATTACAGATGTGTAAACTAAACAAATCTTGCAATGCTAATGATATTGAAAAACAAACGCATAACGATACAATTTTATGAGGAAAACCTAACTGGATAACTTCACCCTGTGGCACCAACAAATTCCCATAAAGTTGCCTTTTTTTAGTAATCACTTGGTGAAGGGTCATATAAAACTGTAAAGTTTGACAGAGCTAAAATAATGTTAAAAGTGTTAGTTAACTGCAGTGTGTAGCATACTCTACTCTCATTGGTCAGTTAATGAAACCCTCGCTGATTGGATGTAACGCCAAGTGACAGCGACAAAATTTGAACATTTTTCAACTTTCATATGTTGCGTCGCTAGCTTGCATATGTGCACGTCTATGTGAACAAGTGTGAAAGTTCAAATGCACGACTTTCGCCGGTCGCTTGGCTGGAGGAGGGCAAGCGATTGTCACCTCATCGCACAAGTTCCATAGAAAATGAATGAAGAGCGAGCGACGTCGCCTCCAATGTGTCGAGCCCTTTAGCTTCCCCAGTAAGGTCTTTCAGGGGTACTGGAGAAGAGAGTCTGATTGACAGTCAAACCTCAGTTTCTGGAGGAACAATGTGGGTTCCGTCCTGGTCGTTCAACACTGGACCAACTCTACCCTCACCAGGGTCCTCGAAGGGTCATGGGATTTTGCTAATCCAGTCTACATGTGTTTTGTGGACTTGGAGAAGACATTTGACCGTGTTCCTCGAGGTACACTGTGGGGGGGTGCTACGTGAGTATGGGATTATGGGTCCGTTGTTACAGGCCATTCAGGCTCTATACAAGCGGGGCGAGAATTTTGTTTGCATTGCCGGTAGTAAGTTGGACTTCGCCAGGGCTGCCCGTTGTCACCGATTCTGTTCATTACTTACATGGACATAATTTCTCAGTGCAGCCAGGGGGTGGAGGGAGTCTGGTTCGGTGGCCTCAGGATTTCATCTCTGCTGTTTGCAGATGATGTGGTTCTGTTGGCATCACCACACCAGGATCTTCAGCTCTCACTAGAGCAGTTCACAGCTGAGTGTGAAGAGGCTGGGATGACAATCAGCACCTCCAAAATCTGAGTCCACGGTCCTGTCAGAAAAAAGTGGATTGCTCTCTCCGGGTTGGTGAAGTTCTGCCTCAAGTGGAGGAGTTCATGTTTCTTGGGGTCTTGTTTATGAGTGAGTGAAGAATGGAGTGTGAGATTGATAGATGGATCAGTGCAGCTTCTGCAGTTTTGCAGACTCTGTACCGGTCTGTTGTGGTGAAGAGGGAGAAGAGCTGTAAGGAGAAGCTTTCTGTTTATCGATCAGTCTACGTTCTTACCTTCACCTATGGTCACGAAATTTGGGTAGTGACAGAAAGAACAAGATCAGTGATACAAGCGGTCGAAATGATTTTTCTCCGCAGGGTAGCTGGACTCTCCCTTAGAGCAGTGATTTTCAACCCTGGTTCTCAGGGCACACTGCCTTGCATGTTTTAGATGTTTCCCTGCTTCAACATAGCTGATTTAAATTGATAACTGATTAACAGGCTTTTGTTGAACTGCAGTCATCTGAGCAGGTGTGTTAAAGCAAGGAGACCTCTAAAACATGCAGGGCAGTGTGCCTTGAGGACCAGGGTTGAAAAACACTGCCTTATAGATAGGGTAAGAAGTTCATTCATCCAGGAGAGACTCAGAGTAGAGCTGCTGCTCTTCCACATTGAGAGGAGCCAGTTGAGGTGGTTTGGGCATCTAGTAAGGATGCTTTCTGGACACCTCCCTAGGGAGGTGCTTCAGGCATGTCCATCTGGGAGGAGACCCCGAGGAAGACCCAGAACACGCTGGAGAGAATATGTCTGTCAGCTGGCCTGGGAACGCCTTGGAGTCCTCCCAGAAGAACTGGAAGAGGTGACTGGGGAAAGAGAGGTCTGGGCTTCCCTGCTCAAGCTACTGCCCCTGTGACCCGACTTTGGATAAAGCGGAAGATAATGGATGCATGGATAAATGGATGGATGACATTTAAACATTAAACAGACATTTAATGTTTAAATGTATAAACGTTTTACACACAGACAAGATTGTCTGTGTAGTGTATTCAATTGAGTATAATTTGAAAAGGCTTTGCAAATGCTTGTATTTTGTTTTGTTTTTTACGCAATGTCCCAAATTCATTGGAATCAGGGTTGTAGAAAAGCAAGTCAACATACCAGTTGGCTGGTTGTGCTAATTGTGTAGTAAGAAAACTGAAAGTTTAGGGTGAAAGATATTACCAAATGAATTGAATTATTACAAGACTGTTGCATTTTTAGTGTTATTTTACAAAGAAACTAAACATAAACTGTCGCTTTTCCTCTTAGTTAAAATTAGAGTAAAACGTTTCGTAACTTATAGGAATGTTGGTGAAAATGACAGGTTTAAAAATTCTTTAATAATTTCACACAATCCATTGTTTTGCAGAAAAAACTACAGGATTATCATTCAACGCCGCACACATTGTGAAGCGCCTTATCGTGGAAAGCACCACCAGTTAAAGGAGGACTCTATCAAAGCAAACACCTCAGCAGCTTAATGAACCACAATAACAATTTTTTCCCAACAAATTTTTACATGTGGCTGTTACTAAAGACTGTGGTATCAATGATTCTGTCATATAAAATGTGTTTCTGTTCCAAATTGTTTGAATGTATTGTTATTTTAACCAGCACCAACACAAACATATTTTTCTTCACTCAAAAATTCATAAGTTTATAGAATCTAAAGTTTGGTCATAGTATTTTTATGTGACTTTTTAAAATCTTGAAGTTTTTTTTCCTTTTAATTTTTGTCTTCTGATTCTTTTATATGTTTTTATAAATCTAATTTTACTAAAAACTGATGAAAGGTAACATTTCATCCAACATTTCAGTATTTATCCTAATTACATCATAAGACACACACAAGACACAGTGTCCCAGTGAATACAAACAGGAATGTTTGAGAAATGGTATAAACAAAGCACTTATCAAGTGCAGGTTGCATGTACTGTTTACTTGAAGGATTGGACAATGTGTGCTGTTAGTGTTTCTTACATGATCAGCGTGTGTGGAGTGTATGTGTCAGGAGTACATGATGCACATGCAACACTAAAGGCCAGAATGTGACAATCACTCCAACTTCCGTATGATGCAGTGTAAGCAGTGGGTATAAAAATTGGTCCAAAGTGTATATGCAGCATATCTGAAAGGTAGGAAATACCACCAGGAAAGAAGAGAGAAAATCTGATTCACCTCCAGAGAAGGAACAGCATAAAGTGCAGCAAAATGGTGAAATCTATCTTCTTCCTTTCTACAATCCTGCATGCTACAGATCAGTTCCTTTCCATTGTACAGATGTGTATATTGTTCTAACTCTCTAAAATAACGTTTTCATCAAAAGTGATTTAGCAAGAAGCATTTGTCTAATATATATCTGCATTACTTGAGTATGTAACATAATAAATAAAAAATAATGAAAAGAAAATATTTGTTTTTATTTCACAAAGGTATGCTACAATAGTATGTCAGACTATTAATCCTCTGATTTTAGTCATATTTTAAACTAAGTGTTTGACCCTAATTAGTATTACAGGAGTCTGTAGCAAGTTGGTAGGAGAGAAACAGAAACACTGACAACAATTTCTGTCCTGTACTACACTTTTGCCAAGTTGGGGCGACACAAATTAGATTTAACTGATATTTATTTAGTCACCCGTTTTAACCATATTTACCTAAGTATGAGATTGTATGATATGCAGGAAATTTTATCTCAAGCCAAAAATACTAAAAGATTCAATTCAATTCAGTTTATTTATAGCACCAAGTCCCAACATACGTTGTCTCAGGGCAGTGTACATGAAAAGAAAAGAACAATCTAAAGAAGAAGCCAGCAGATTGTGTTGAATCACTTCATCACAGTCTCCCATCCTGAGCAAACGGTGGAGAGTAAAAACTCCCTGCTAATCAGGAAGAAACCTCCAGCAGAACCAGGCTCAGGACAGGTGGTCATCTGCCTCGATCGGCCGGGTTGGGGGACAGGAAAGAGACACAGGCAAACAGAAGAACTGGTCCAGGTGCACCTTCTTCTGGAAAAGAGACAAAGAAAAAACATGTTATTGATAGAAATAATTACAATAAACATGTAGAGAAGAGAGACTAAAGACGAGTGGCATAGCCAGAAATTGATTTTAGGCCGGGCCTGAGAAAAAATGGGTGGGCCAGATCAGTTTATCAGAGGGTATGCAAAAAACCATCACTGCACCTGACCCACACAAATACAGCCCACATGGAGAAGGGGTTCTTGGCCACATGGGCGCAATGCGTGCAGCACACAAAAACACCAACGTGACACCACACACCTAACAGGTCCTGACCAACAAAGGCCACATGAGTGTGGCACGCATCACATGGTGCTGAAAAACAGCGCTTCTGTCCCACAAAGCCCAACGCACTCAACGCGGTACGCACGTGCACGCACGCATGCACGCACACACACACACACACACACACACACACACACACACACACATGCTTTTGACTTGATGACCTTACAAAAAGCCAAAAATAAGAAAATAAAAATGTGAAATGTCATGCAGTGGCTAAAGCTTGTAACATTAATGTCTCCTTATTGTGTCTCTGCCTGAGGAGGAGAGGAGAGGGCAGCTGTCATTCACAACGCACTGCCGTCACTGTGTTAAAACAATAATTAAATTAAAACAGCGCAATAATACAGATTTGGTTTATGCAGACTGTAATGGAAACAAGGTAAAAAAAAGAAAATGCAGCAAAATAAAGACTGGGAAAAGAGGTCACGTTAACGGAATATTTTCCATATTTTACCGTTTTTTTAACACGGTGACGGAAAAAGCTAAAGGCCATCCAGATTGCAATTAACACTCCTGACCTCTAGAAGGCTTAAGCCAGGTGAGGCTGAGGAAATATTTCAACAGACTGCAGCTCTGTGGCATCACGCACAGAGGCATTTTCATCTTTACGCACAGAGTAAGTTACATCATGGAGGTGTCTTATTTAATCTAAGATAAATAAAAGATTTCCATCTGATCATTATCTCAGATCTAGACACCATACTGAATGCATCTTCAGGAGCTGACAGTGCATGGAAGAGTGATAGGAGGCTTTGGAGCGTCTGTGAGGCGCAGCTGAACCAGTGGTGCAGCGGGAGCGCATGCTGCTGCATTTCCTCCTGCTAAAGCAGCTTGTGGGATTTGGAAACAAACACTTGCGGAGTTCTGATCACTTCAACTGGAGGTTTTTTTTTTTATTTTAAACTTTGACTGAAGTGGCGCTTGTTATTCCAAGAGTGTCGCAGCAGAGCACGGTTTAGTCTAAAGAACTGGCACCTGCAGATTTAGACTTAATGTGTAACTTGAGATTTTCCTTAGAGTTAAAAAATATTTCATAAGTATTAGACTTTCATTGCATAAATCAAATTTATACTCTTTTTCTGTTTTTATTCAATAATGTCGTAAATGGTAAATGGACTGTACTTTTAGAGCGCTTTTCTATCCATCCAGGATACTCAAAGCTCTTTACACTACAATCTGTGTCCTCATTTACCCATTTACACAGCACTTTATTAGGTCTCTACAAAGCTAACATGTACACCCAAGTGAAAAAAGTATGCTTAAGTTGTACTTTATCTTGATGTATTTAATATATTTTAATTGTATTGTACTAAGTATATATTAAGTGTGTTATTTTTGGAACAACTTTTAGTATATTAAGTTGTTTTTTAACACAACTTAAATTCAACTTTAGGATATTTGCAGAATATTTTAGTGTACTTAATTGTGTTAAAATGGAACAACTTTAAATATATTTAATTTAGTTTAAATATACATATTTAAAATGCACTTAAAATATACTTTGTGCTACATTTGAAATACAGTTTAAGTATATTTAAGCTTTATATAAATGTATTTTAAACATATTTTTATTACACTATCAGATCATTATAAATGTACTATTAATATACTACAAGAGCAACTATTAATATACTACAAAGCTTAATAAATCTATTTGGCATGAATACTGAAAACCTTTCAAAATGCTCTTTTAGCACAATTAAAAAACATTAAAAATGCATTTTAAGACACTTCAAAAACTTTAATATTCAAAAGACAACTTCAAAACAAAATAAAACATCTGTATAATGCAGCAGCATCTTTGAAAGATAAACTGAAATGTTCAAATAAAATAAAATCTGCAAAATTATTTTAAAATCACATAAGGACACTTGTAAGGTTTCTGCAAAAAATATAATTAATTAAATTAACTAAAGTGCATTTCTTTAAAAAAAAACTTTACATTAAGAACTCAGCTTGAAACCGAACAAACCATAGATTTTAACAAAACACTTCATATTTTGTCCTTGAAGGAACAAGGGGACTGTCGGGTTTCTTGGAGAAGGCCTCGTTGTTGCATTTTCTGCGAACGAGGGCTCGTACTTCAGACACAGTGGTGTTTGGAAATTGTTTTATCACGGTGTATGTGGAAGGGAAATACAAAAACATTTTGTTAATACAAAAACATTATTTACCTCAACTAACAAGCCTGGTCTGAATCACAAATGGCCTCAACTTGTATATCGTTTTATCAAGTCCTGTTGGACTCCTAAGCACTTTACACTTCAGTCATACACACTGATGATGGTAAGCTACGTTCACACTGCAGGCCATTTGTACAGTGGTTTTAGGTTTGTTTGTTTGTCCATAAGGCATGACCTAAATTACCTAAATTAATTATTGATAGAGCAGGAAGAATGCCTGATACTGATGCTCTTCATTCTTTCTAAATATCTCATTATTTTGATGTCTAGAACGGTTTATTTAATTTACATGTTAGACTTTGCTGCTGTAAATTTTAGTGTTTCTGCCGAGGAAACAAAATTTAAAAATGTAATTCTAATGTTTTGAATTGTAAAATAAACAGGTTTAATTATCACAATCACGCGTAATGCAGCCCTACTTTAGACCATACATCAGAATCAGAATACTTTATTGATCCCCGAGGGAAATTACAGGTATTACAGCTGCAACCCTTCAAATCAGAAAAATGTGAAAAGAAAGAAAAAGCACACTAGAATAAAATAAGTATAAAATAAGTATAAACACCCAGGATTAAACTCAGGATATACGTATGTACATGTACAGTACATGGCATTTCACTTTACCACAGTTGTTAATTATGTGCAGAGTAAATACTAGCCAATTATTTTTAATAACAGCTGATCTAACATCATACTCAGCTGTTGCAAACTCTGGCTTTAAGAATATAATGAAGGTGAGGGGTATTTTATTTAGTTGAGAAATTTAATTGAACAACTAACATTTTAATGTTTGCACTTCTTTCTCTTACTGCAGGGCTATTTGTTAACTTTTTCAACTCAGCAGTGGTGCTACAGAGGCTATTGGTTTTGTAGCACAAAAAAGTTGTAGCAACAGCTTAAAATTTCTGGATTCAGTTATATCGAGGCAAAATTAAAATTTCAATCTATGTCTTCATGTGAATCAATATCATATGCTACAAAACACAATGACTGTGTTAAATGTGCATATGATATTGCATTATATCGACTGCAGGCTTGTGAGCTGAATCAAAATCATATTATGACAGACTTTGAGATAGAGAAAAATCAAACTGTCATCTAAACAAATCGATGTAATATTACATCATGATAAGAGGTGGTGATTTACACCGCTAGTACTGAGTCACACAAAGAGCTACTTGTTTGACACAAACATACATTTGCATGACTCACCTTCAATTACAATAGTACTAAATATATGTACAAATTTGATAATATTTGAATGCCTGGCTACATCTGTATGTTAAGGACTCCTCATGATAATTATGAATAATAAATTACTATAACAAATTATTTTTAAAAACATCCATCCATCTTCTTCCGCTTATCCGAGGTCAGGTTGTGGGGGCAGCAGCCTGAACAGAGACCCAGGCTTCCCTCTCCCCAACCACTTCATTAAAAACATGATTAGAACTCTGCAGCAGATGGTGATCTGAGTCCAAAGAGATTGAAGTCAGATTTCTGAGAAAAAAGTCAGAATTCTGAGATTAAAGTCAGATTTCTGAGATTGAAGTCAGAATTCTGAAATTAAAGTCAGAATTCTGAAATTAAAGTCAGAATTCTGAGATTAAAGTCAGAATTCCCTTTTTTATTCTTCAGTGGCCCTAATCCTCTTCTGTATTAGTGAAATTCAGTGTATTTTGTACATATATTTGTCAGCCTTGTAGGAATAAACAAATTTATACAGTAAACCTGTTTCTTATTACTTCTGTAATATGACTTAAACTGTTATCATTAAAATATTAAAATCATGTCCTGTTTCTTAAAAATCATTTTTCTTTTAACACTTCAGAAGAACTCTAACCCTTATAGATATAAAAACATCAGTTTAAAAAAATGCAACTATTAGAAAAACTTCCTGAAAACTATTTACCACA